CAGACGGTCACCGTTGATCCCCGCAAAGCAACGCTCCGATAAGCTAGTTTGGCCCCCGCGCCCAACGCTACGGGCAAAAAAAAAAAAACCGCAGTCCCCCGCGCGGCCAACTTTTCTCTACGCGCGTACCCGCGCGTGGACCTGTGCATTGCGCACCTTTTCTCTACGCGCGTACCCGCGCGCGAACCTCAGGGTTTCGCCCCGCTGGGCCTCTCCTGCGCGCCAGCCGTGGCCATTTTCGTCGCCCTCTCCTCTCCCTCGGCCTGAACCCCGTGCCCCCCCGCCTCGGTTTTGTGTCCCAAGCGGTTTCCCTTGGGCCCACGACCGAGCATGTCGCCAGACCCTTTGCTTGCTTTAGTATGTATAGAGAAGAGATAGAGATAGAGAAGAGATATTGGAGACGACATCTTCAAGTGTTGATTGTATCTCGTCGTATCTCGATGTGGCTTCTCATGTGTGAACTAGGAAGTTTTTCATGCCCTGCCGGGCACCCAGGTGTGAAGCCCGGGGTACCCGGGCATGCAAAAAAAAAAAGAAAAAAAGAAAAAAAAAAAGCCTTTTCTGCGCTTTCCCAGAGGAACCCAAATCCAGGCTCGTTTCATTTTTCGAGAGTTGGCTGTCAAGGGGGGGAAAGGGGGTTATAAATTCTTTTTAAAGGGGCTAAGAGGGTTTAAAGGGGGGTCCTTTAGTGTGATTTTGTTATTTTCTTTTTCATCTCCGATTCGGTGAGGAATTCTTTTTTTTTTTATCTTTTTTTTTGCTTTTTTCTTCACTTCTTTTCTTTTCTTTTTTGAAGAGGAGTAACAATTATTATCAGTCAAAAGTTGTTTGTATTGCAATTCCACACAACATTTTTTTTTTCGGGAATTTTTTTATTGTCGTTTTCTTTTTTTTTTTTTTTTTTTTTTTTCTGCGCTGGGACGGCCCAGAACCCTTCCCGGGGGTCATGCCCAGCCGGGCACCCGGGCGTGTATCCGGGCACAAGTTGGGTGCCCGGGCGCCCGGAAAAACAACCTAGCGTGTGAACTCCTTGTCGTCACAATCTGTTGAGATTCAGCCCTTTTCCAAATATTTCCTTTGTTTCCTCTTTTTTTTTTTTTTTGAACTTGAAATTTCAGATTTGGACTAGGCTACCAGGGGCGAGGTCCCACCAGCAACGGCATAGGATAGAAACGAGTTTGTGGGGCAGTTGAGTGACCCAAATCCTGCCGTGCACTACTCGTGATCCCACCGTCAGTATTTTACTAGTATTACCCGAAAAAGTAAGGAGATCTTCGTTCCCCTCCTCCTCTCCTTAACACTGGGCATGCCCGTGCACAGACAGGTTCCCGCCAGAATCTTTTCAATCGGTTGGGGGTGTGGCCAACCCCAAACGAGGTTGGGGTCGGCCTTAGCCCACTGGATAGAAGATTTTCAGCATTTTACTTGCTGTTGTGCAATTACCTCATTGGGTGGAGCCCTCCTTCAATCACGTAGTATATGGAGGGTGTCAGGATCACTGGTGTCAGAAGTCGAGTTTATTCCAGAACATGTGGCGGTTACTTTGTTCACTGTTTTTGCAACCACCACCATCAGATCATTTGTGAGCTGATGGCTGGGAAGCACGCTGCTGTGATTTCCGGTGGGAGGGCTCTGTTTCTTCTTTTTTTTTGTCCTTTTTCCTGTTTTCTCAGCCCAAAAATTTGTAATGAACTTGTCTGGCCGCTGCCACTCAGTGTCACACTGGATCTTCCACCCTCCTATCCGACTGCTAATGGGACCTCGCCCCAGCCGGGCCGCCCGGGTCCCGGGTGGCCAGCCCCTGCAAGGACCAGCGAAGGTCCAAGCAAAAA